TTTTTTTTTTTTTTTTTTTGATTTGGGGTAGCTCGACGAGATCTACGCAGCTGCAAATTGCCGAAGGCGGTTTGGCCGCCCAAATTCAAAAAAACGCCTTTTTCTTGCTTTAATTTCATTTTTAAGAAAAAGAAATATGTTTTTTTTGTATTTTTAAACCTCTATATCTCCCCAATCAAGACTTATTTTTCGAAGTTTTTTTTTTTTTTCATAACAATGCTCTCAACCTCTATTTTATGTACCAATTGGAAAAAATCAGAAAATGCATAGTCTCTGCAGTTGCTAGGTTAGTTGTCTGATGCTGCTAGGTTAGTTGTCTAATTGTGCTAGGCTAGTTGTTTGATTGTGCTAGGTTAGTTGTCTGTATTTTAAGAGCTGGCCTCATTTTAAGAGCTGGCTTCATTCGATCTGCCCCCTATATATATATGTCAACCAACGTCCCGATATCGAAATACGAATCAAACCAACGAATTCGAAACAATAACGACAATATAGAAAGGAGGTTCGAAGAGATTATGTTGGGAATATCAAGTGATATTCTCAACAGATTACCCATCTTCGGGAATACCAGAACGACGAGTTGGACAATGGGGCGAATGTACGAACTAACGGAGCCTCGAAACTCAAAACTATCGGACAACAGGACTGGACACAGCCTTCTCGCAACGAATAGGTTACTCAAGACGAACCGGAGATCTCGTCGGATAGAACGGTGAACGCCGGTTAAACGCGAGCTGAGCTTTCGCCGGAAACAATGGCAGATGGTTGTAGCTTGTTCGGAACTCAGAGCTATGAACACGCGGGACTGAGGGGCTGCTCGCGAACAGCAAATCGCTGGCGTTTACGCCGGTGATGGTGGATGTCTCGCCGGAAGTGATGATCACAGAACAGGTACGCGGTTGTTTTTTTTTTTTTTTTTTTGAACAGGCATTCCAGAGAGAGAGATATGCGAGTTATGGGTGATGATTCTGAGCTCCTCGACCGAGATGTAATATGGCGAGAGGGAGAACATGCGGATGGATTTTCTCCCCAAAAATCGCAACGAAATTTTGACTGAGATATTACATGTTATTAACTAAATATGCATCTATTATGAAGTAAATATGCATCATGAAAGAACTAAATATGCAGCGAAACTATTCAATAAAAATGTACATTTTATATAGGTAATTTATGATGCATATTTAGTTAATTAATGATGCATATTTAAGTAATTTATGATGCATATTTAGTTAATACGAAATACATATTGTTATTTTAAATTAAATATATAATGATGCGTATACAGTTAATTTATGATGCATATTTAGTTAATTCATGGCACATATTTAGTTTTTAGGCAATGCATATTTAGTTCATGAATAGTGCATATTTAGTTCATTTGAGATTCAATCATAACAATTTATTTGTGCAGATCAATAACTTATATTAATCAATTCCTGAGGTAAGAGTGGCAAGAGTCCTTTCCTTCTGTCTGGTCTGAGACCGGGTACGGCCGATTCAGGAAAGCAACTCAAATCGGTCCCTGGAGGGAAGCACTGTCTCATTAAAATTAAAATTAATTATATAATAAAAAATATTAATTATTATATTTAATTTAATTGTATAAAATGTATATTTTATTGCATATTTTCGTTGCATATTTAGTTCATTCATGATGCATATTTAGTTAGTAAAATGTGCATATTTAGTACATAAATAGTGCATACATAGTTGATATTATTGGTGCATATTTAGTTCATAAGGATTACATATATAATTCATTTCTTATGCATATTTAGCTCATATTAAGTGCATAGTACTGTATGCATATTTACTTCATACATAATGCATACTAGGGGTCAACGGGTCAACGCCGGAAGTCAACGGGTCAATGGTCCGAAAGTCAATGGTCAACGCCGGAATCAACAGTCAACGCGGGAGTCAATGGTCAATTGTCAAAATAATATTTAAATAATAAAAATAAAAAATTATTATTTAAATAAAGAGTTTAATCTTGGTCACACATCATGTAACAATCTAGTGGCTAGGAATGAGTCTCACATGCACACTTTTAATAAGTGTACTCATCGGATCCAATCCCATTAACTATATACTATTTTTATATTTCTAGACATAGTTTTAAATATTCCAGACATGATTTTAGAATTTATATAAGATTATAAAAAATTATATAAGATTAAATATATATATATATTAGAATTTATTTAAAATAAAAAAATAATATATTTAATGTAGAGTAAAACGTAACGCGAATGACTAGAGATGAAATAATATATAAATATACATATATAACAATTTATTTGAAATAAAAATAATAAAAAAATAATATATTTGATGTAGATTAAAATGTACAGATTATGACTAGAGATAAATGTCTTATTTTACTCTGGAATAGAGTAAAGTTCGCTCTAGAGTAGAAATAAGTACTGAAGATGGCCTAATGGTTAATAACTTTTTCTAAGAGGGGTGATAGTTCCTTCTTATTTTATTTTATTTTTTTTATTATATATGTGAGGATACGTGGCAGCTAGTTTATATGATTTTTTTTTTTTCCTTTTTTGGACATTTAAGTAAATTAGCCAAAGGCTCCACATTGAAAAGCAAATACACAACAAATACCTCACTAGCCTAAATGAAGCTCAATCATTAAAATTTAAAAACCATCCAAATTCAGAACAACAATAAATTCAACCACACAACCTAAGAACGATACACAGAACTAGTGAACCAAAAAAAAAAAAAACAAAGGCCGCCCAGAAGAGATAACACAACACAGATTAACTCGACATATGAAAGAGAAACGAAAATGCGTGTAAAAAATGAAAAGAGATAAAAATACTAAGGCACAGCACTTATTACAAATTAAAATTAATTAAAAGAAAAAAAAAAGCAGCAGGTCACAGGTTACCCTCGAGCACGCCCTTGAGCAGATTCAGCCCCTCGGCCGATATGCTCCTCCTGACCCGAGCCGGTGCTACCTCCACCCTCGGCGGCGGGTCCCGCGAGAAGCAGACGACAACAACCGTGAGGTTGTCGCAAGTGTTCCTCTTGAGGGCCTCTCGAACCAACTCCCTCGAGCATTTTTCAGGGTCGTTGTGGAGCATCAGCTCCTTGCGAGCCATGCTGACCGCGCACTGGCTGCTCATCACATCCCACAGCCCGTCGCAGCCCAATATCAAGAACTCGTCATCCTCAGTCAAGAGGGTCTCCTGAAGCTCGGGCTCCGCACTCAGCGGGCAGGCCGACCCCTTTGGGCCCTTCATGTGCCAGTCCCCCAGGGCCCGTGAGACTGACAGCTGGCCGTTGAGGTACCCGTCGTAGATGGCCCCGCCGAGCTTCTCGATCCGGAGCCGTTCGGACGTGTAGTTGGGCTTGTGGTCCCGAGACATCTCAATTGCTTTCCCTCGCTTTCCCAGCACAGCCCGGCAGTCACCCGCGTTGGCCACTATCATTTTCCTGAGGAACAAAAAAAATGACAGATGTCAAATTCAATCGCATTTCAAATCGGCCAACCAATAAACTTGAAAGTTCGTAAATGTCTTTTAAAATATTTCTCTGAACTGTTTTTATACAATGGGATGGGCTGGCTAGGCAACAAAAGAGTTAGCCCGAAAAATTTGGTCCGACCCAGTTTTATGGAAGTGGGATCGTGCCGGGCATTTTAGCAGCTATAATATTAACAGAGAAAGCCACATTACCTTCCAGATATGAAAGCAGTCAAAGCAGTGGTGCCGGAAGATATGTCTACAGAACTGTCGTCAGCGAATGTGTAATCAGCTTTGAGATAGGCACTTTTGATTGCTTTCTCCAGGCATGCTGGGAAGAAGGAGTTGTCTACTATATACTTGAGGATATTGGTTCGCACGAAACACGCTGCATCTGTGCCTCCATGGCCATCAAACACCTACTAGCATATAAGCGTGTCGTTAATTAGTAAGAGGTGGTGTAATTAGCAAAAATATACTGTAAACTGAATGGGGCTTTCACAGAAGGCATCAGAAAATCTTGTACATCTTAACCCCATCAAGAGACATGTGGCTTTCACAGAAGGTAGCAGAAAACTAATTAAATACTCTTCAACAAGACCAAAAGATAAATGCACATCTGCAAAATTTTAACTTACCCCGTAAAAAGCTCCAGGTGAAGGGAAACCCACAGTATCACCTAAATGCAGAGGCAAATCATCGATGCAGACATGTTCGTCCTCCATGTACTGCTTAGGTCCTTTCTCAGCACAGCTTCCAGAACGAAATACCGGTACATAGTTTGATACTAAATCTGATGGGAGATTGATTGCAGTCACTCCAGTGCAAGAATCCTTGTAAGTTTCACAAGAAAGCGTTAGCCTATTTTGACTGGATCATACGACAAGAGAATTGAAAACAAAATGTATCTTATTTAAGGAGGCCGTAGAAGTTAAAAAAGAAGACTTAATATACATTTACTTATATCGTGGAGGCAACAATAAATGCATAAATAAATCTGAAGGCTTTTCCTTGTTCATTTCCACCTTTTAGAAAAGCCTAAAGCTACTACGTAATGAAGCTGCAAACCAAAACTGTTTCCCGCAATATTTGTTTTCCTAAGGCATGGAAAATTTATCTACGCCTTATATTTTATCATTACATTTCTTGGAAAGCCGCAATCAAAACTGTTTCCTGCCATAGAGGATGCTCTAAGGCATGGAAAATTTATTTGCGACTTGTATTTTATTATTACATTTTTTTTTTTCTGGAAAGAAGCCCAATTGTCATCTCACCAAGAAGGTCGATTAACTGACAGCTCGTGCATTTATTGACTAGTGCATCCAGTCACAAGTCAGTGCATCAATGAGACTCATAGATGCACTTTCTCATTTCATAAAACATATTTACTTCTATTCTCCAAATTTATACCCAAACCAACATTTCACATCTTTGCATGCACCCATTAATCTCATTAGCAAACTAACCAAACATGTACCATCATAATTTTTCCACATCGAAAACACCATGGTAAAACAAATACTAAACCCATAACTAATCCATAAATCTTTCCATTTTGAAAACGAAGCCGAAACATTTCTATTAGGAACAGGTCTACTTGAAAAATGACCAAACAGGATTAATGATTCCGAAATTTTGCACAAGAAAATGGAAGTTCAGTTACCATTCGGTTTATTCTGTTAATTCTACAGGAACAGGTCTAATTGGCACTCCAATAGTTCTATTCGAGTTCCTATAGAACTTCAACTAAATCCAGATATCAAAATACTATACCAAATCACAACTCACAGAAAACGCTTCATACCCAAGAATAATTTTTTTAGGAAAGCCCAAATGCTAATTCCAACTTCTTAACAACAAACACACTCTGGATAAAAGTAAAGGGTAATATAACGTAATTTTCCTCACCAAATCAGAGGGCGGCACCAAAGTGGTGGTGCTGATAGAATGCCTTACGACCGAGACATGCCGTGGTGGTCTACCGTTCAATGTCTGCTTCAGCTCATCCGAACTTACGGTAATCTCATCTTCCACAACAGGAACTTCATTATCACCCTTACCATCACCACTTTCTATATTAGCAAAAGGAGGCGTACAATCAGTATCTGCAGCCATGCTCGTCACAAATCATGAATTCTATGTTCCTTCTACGAGATCAATTACTCAAAAAGATCCTCACTTTAGGAAATGACTGCGATCTAAACAGATTTTTGTCAATAGAAGAACCGTTTGAAGATCAACAAACTCCAAAAAATGACAGAAATGCTTCTAACCCTGATCAACTCAAATGCCCTTTTCTTCAACAGTCACACAATTATCTCAAATCCGTCGCCCGAGATCAGAAACCATTAAGCAAACACACTTTCAATCACCAATCAAACACACACTAACCCAACGAAACACACTTTCAATCACCAATAAAACACACATTAACCCAACGATACACACTTTCAATCACCAATCAAACACACACTAACCCAACGAAACACCAACAAATGCAACCATGGGAAATTCTATCAAAATCAAGATTCAGGAGCCAAATACGAAAACTAAATGGAAAACGAAGCTGGCCCAGATGAAAATTAAGGGAAACAGAAACAAAAACAGAACACAAGAACAAGAACGCAACAGGATCTGCCTCGGATTAAAGCGAGCATCAAACTATCAATTCAAATGCGCAAAATCGCACTAATCAATGCGAAAAACAGAAGCAAAATCCCTTCCCCAAACGGGAAATCGAAGACGAAGACAACAAATGATTAAAGAACAGAGGATCACGAAATTGGTTGGAAGGAAAAAATTATTGGTGTCTGTAATTATTACGAAATCGAAATGAAAAGCTGCAGAGGATTTTTTTTGGTTAAATTCGATGCGGTTCGTTTACGACAGGTGAAAGAGGTGCACTTTACCGACACGTGGCCTTCGTTAGTTGGTTCTCGCTGGATTCACAGGATGGCCAACTGCAAGTGCTTCCCATCCGTCCGATCAAGTGGGTGAGATTGATTTGGGCGGTTGGGATTCGGCAGTGGGTCTACTAGCCTTTTTGCGATTTTGCAGGTGGTGTGCACTGTGCAGGGTATGGGATTGGGTTGCGTGTCGGACTATGATTTGTTGCGTGGGTTTTCGGCTAAGGTGAAACGGTTTCACGCTAAATTGTTACCTACTCGAATCCGATGCCTTACACACAAATTATGTAAGGTAGACTAATAGCGCAAATACTTAGGTATGCCTTAGTGCATCCACAATGCTTTGGGTCTCTTTTTGCATATGTGGCAAATAAATAGACTTAAGTCGATAATGACATGGACAAACCCAAACTAAAAAATCCAAAATTTATCCAATGCAAAACAAAAAGTACTAGGTCTAGAATACATGACAACCAATAAAAATGCTCTAATATATTTCATTTATTAAAAGAAAAATTAAATGAGGAATAAATGATGAGTGCTTGGATTTGTACTTGGGTCTAAAATAGACCCAAGTGTGGACTAGGTCTCATTTTTGTATTGCCACATAAGCTAGACTAGGTCCACTTTTAATTGCATTGGAGAACATTTTTTTATAGACTAGGTCTATTTCTTACATGGCATGTAATTTTTTTTTAAGAAACTCAAAGCATTGTGGGTGCTCTTAGCACACTTTGTTAGGTGTGTCATGGTCTTTTGTGAAGCGTGAGGTAAGAAGGTAAAATATTATTTTTTTTTTAAATGGGACCTGTGTCCCATTTCTATTGGGTAATGAATTTTATATATCATATTATATAAATTAAATTATCATTCATATTTTGTATCAAAAAATAAAAATGAAAATACCAAAATTCATAATTTTTCATTCTCTACAAATAGAGACCACATTTGATATTTTTTGGAACACAATTAATTTATCTTTTTTATAATTAATTTATCTTATTGGAAGATTATGACGCAAATCTATAATAAGATGAACATGTTACATAGTAAGATGAACATGTTATATAGTGTTGATAACCGAGTTAGCCCAAAATGAACCGTAGACGGCCCCTCCGGACCTGGGCTGAAGACCCGGTCTGACACCGAGGTGTCGAGCTGAATCGAAGGTTAAAGATATGTATAACCGCCGTGGGAACGTTTCCCTAGACCGGCACCTGGCTCAGTCAGGACAGAAGCCGACCTGGGTGGGTGTCGGGCAGGAAGAAGACTATTAGCTGTCTCGCGAACACGTCCGAGTAAGGTGCCGACCTGAAAATCCGGAGAGGCCGACCAAAGGGAAAGGGCGGGGTTCGATGAGCATTAAAATATTCCCACTTGGAAGGCTATCATTGGATGATGGGACATGTTATCATGACCTAGCGTCCAACCAGCAAGCCTAGTCAATAAAGCTACCAGCATTAAATGTCCCCCATGCTGGCATTTAATGGCTGACAAGTAATGATTGAAGAAACCTCAAATCGCATTAAATAAATGTCAGAGGGACGCCGAACTGCTCTGCAAGGCCACTGTGTGACAAGACCGGTGAACAGTAGCTGAACAGTACCACATTAAAGACTACTATAAATAGCAGCTCATTTCATTTATTTTGGGTTGTTGAATCTCAACTAACTCTGCTCTCTCTCTATTTTCTCTCTCTAAGCTGTAAGAAACTCCTTGTAAGAACTGTAAGTATATCACAAGTGCCGACCTCGTACGAGAGGCCAGTTTCGTGATCGCCTAATAAAACCGTAATTAAATCAAATCTTCATTTGGTTTCCAGTCTTTTGCCTCCAACATTTATCATTTTAACCGTTGACCGAAAACGCTCGTCAATAGTTTGGCGAGAGAGAAAGGGCACCATAAGTTGCTTGGTGTCAATTATTCGATCTTGTGAAGCCCCATATTCACTCACCTTCGTTCACCTCGAATCCCGTTCAAGATGGCTTCGTCCAGTCACGACGAGTCAACCCAGCAGTCCGACGCTCAACCTCGCCGACGTAACGGCGAAGAGACCTCTCGCCGCAACCAGCAAGGGACTCAAGCTCTTGTCCCTCCTATCCCGACTTTTGCTGCCGGCATGCAGCATCCCGACATCCTCAAAGCCCTGGAAGGAGTCTTCGCCAAGGCCCTCGCAAGCCAGGCACCCGGGGGAAACACCGTGGCAGCCACGGATAACCCCGTCAACACCCTGCTTCAGACCCCCGATAAGGAGGTCGAAGGACAGCAGAGAAAACCCGCCAAATCTAAAACGACGGCTCAATCACCCAATCGCGCCGCCCCAGCACGGCGCGAGAAAAGCGGAGGGCCGGCACCCACCGAACAGACTGGCGAAAGCCAGCCAGACCGGAGCCTCCAGGTCATACGTCGCTCCGTATACCAACGCCTGGGCGACAAAACTCAAGCCAACCGCGACCTCAGGGACGTGATTGAGCGAGGTAAAACCATTAGGCGCGACGCGGATGAAGTCGCAGCCCTCAAACGCAGAATCGCCGAACTGGAAGGTCGGCGCTCTCCCCAGGGAGGTGCATCTCCTCTCCACTATTCACGACCAACTCCTCGGGTCGTGGATCATGCTTCCCCCCTCTCTCCTGACATCTTGCGCGAGCCCGTGCCCCAGAAAATCAAGGTGCCACAGCTCGGACTTTATGACAGAAACTCGGACCCCGACTCTCACATCGGCCTTTACACCTCCTGGATGGACCTGCACGGCGCGACAGACGCCTTACGCTGTCGCATGTTTTCCCTGACCCTAGGACCGAAGGCGCAGAGGTGGTACAATTCCCTGTATCCGCACTCTATCTGCACTTGGGGCCAGCTCAGGTCGGCATTCCGATCGCACTTCATCGGATCACAAATCAGCCTGGCCCCTAAGGAATCAATCGCCAATATCGTCCTGGGCGAGGATGAGAGCCTGAAGGACTATATCACCCGGTTCAACGACCGAGTTCAGAATATGGAATAGTGCCATCCGGAGACCCTGCTCGTCTCCGTGCAGGCCAGGCTGAAGCCGAAAACCCTGTTCAAATGGTCCCTGTGCCAGAACAAGCTAGCCACCTACCAGGAATTCCTCACCAAGGCCCAAAATTACATCATGGCAGAGGAATTCTCATCCATCACGGTGTTGGACGCCGCGTCAAGCAAGGACAAGAATAAAGAAAAATCAGGAAAGCCCGACAAGTCATTCGCCAAGGTGCGGGCTATGAGAAGGCAGAGAGCGGAGGAGCTCAAAGAAAGCTTCCAGGGCGTCTTCTCCGTGGGTGCCTCCGCGGTCTACGAAGAAATCAAAACGAAGGGGTTGCTGCCGGACCCAAAACCCATGTTCACCGACAAAGATAAGGTGGATAAGTCCCGATACTGCACCTATCACAAGGCGCACGGGCATAACACAGACCAGTGCCGCCACTTGATCGCGGCACTGCTCAAGCTGATTGACGACCCGCAAGTCAAGAAGTTCACTCACTCTGGGGAGAAGAGAAAGAAGGGAGGCCGCATCGGGGACGGCCTTGACAACGACGAGGATACCGACATGAACCCACGGAGGAAAAAACCGCAGCAGGGCGCACCTAATGAAATCTTGACGTTCGGCCCGGCCCATCAAGGTAAGGCCGGCACTTCAGTAGGAAGGAAAAGAGATCGGTCCCCTCAGTCGAATACCAACCGGACCGACTTCCCACCCCGGCGCAAGCCGAGGTGAACCACTCCTTTCGAGGAGACAGACGAAGGCTTATGCCCGACAAGCCTATTACGCCGGGCAGAGAGTGATGCACGCCGGAAGCAGGCCGGCAGCTGAGTCGACACCCAACAAAATCTCCTTCACTGACGAAGACGCGTTCCCGTTCGACCACCCCCACTCAAACGCCCTGGTGATAACGGCCCCAATAATAGCGATAAAAATCCACCAAATAATGGTTGACACCGGGGCCCATGCGAGCATCCTGTATTACAGCACGTTCAAGAAGATGGGGATCGACAGGAAGCAGGTGCAGCCCTGTCGAGACCGGATCCAGGGGTTTAATGGTCAAATGACGACCCCCGTTGGTCAAGTGACGTTGCCGATTAGGTTCGGGGAGAAGGGGCAGCCCACGCGAACGATATTGGAAACTTTCAAGATAGTGGACTGCCCAAGTGAATACAACGCCATCCTCGGCAGGACGGCGCTCTACAAGC